TGGTGACTTTTCGGAATTTAACAAAAATGGACGTTTTACAGAGGTATAGTTAATGATTAATTTTCCCGGATTTGAAATACTTCTGTGAGTATACCTGGTGTGCGATACCGAGCTGTATAAAGTTATACAGCGCTAGAAACTGAAGAACAGGCTAAAAAAACTGCTTAAAACTGCTCCACATAAATTTTACACTTGATGGTCTGTTTGGCTTTCACCTTTGTCATCTGTCGACATTCATTCGTTAAATCGAGGATTGTCTTACGATTAGTATTCTGGATTTTGTTAGTTGTATTCTGTAATTATCAGGGGCACCCAACAACCGTTTTCTGGGAAATATCTGTTCGGAGCCCTATAGAATGTCTAAAATTTTCGAGAGCTTAAGAAGAGCAACGAAAAGTTTCTTGGTAACTGTGTGTTGGGCTCACACTTTCGGGATTTGTGTGGCTTATTCACTTAAGAATTTCGGATTTTGTAAAAATCATCTAGATTCTGATATCGGCACCCAGAAATTTCGAATTTCGTAACTCAGTTCTAAACTTTCGTAAACTAAGAATGGCGTGTCTGTGGTCAGCGTTGTCATCAGTGCCATCTGGCGTGTTGCACATTTTTCAAGAAGTGCAGTGCAAATTTAGTTGGTCAGAGTACTTTTACGTTTAAAACTGGCATTAAAATCACTTAAATGTCTTTTCATCTGTTTTTTTTTGTATTTCCTAGAATTTTCTATACATGCTACGTCGCCCTAGGAAATTCGAAGACGTTCCCACATAGATATCGTTTTCGGGAAAAAACTGAAAGGACCCCTAAAAATTTCAGCTAAGAGAAAAACTCGTGACGTAAACTCACGTTTTCGTAAAGCTTTCATTGTCGGCTGTTATTTTCGGGAAAGGCGAAAATCATCCCTAAAAAATTCGAGAGGCTCAAACCACTCCTAGGAAGACCACAGATCAAATTTTTATGATTACTTTTAAAGTACTCCCGGAAGCATAAAGAGGCATTTCAGATAATTTCTCAGAAAACAGTCATTGGGTGCCCCTGAATTATAACAAGGAATTCGTTAAACGGAGGTTGGTTAAATCGAGATTTTACTGTACCTTTTTTGCTGGGTTAAAGAAAATGAGCAAAATATGATTCCGAAGAAACCTCAGACAAAGACCCTACTCGAAATTTTTTTATAATTGAAAATCGTCAGGGGCCGTGTTGTTTTTTAAACCCCTTTGATGTCTAGGAGTTGTTAAAAGCAGTTTCCAGCTGTTTCCGAGTGATTTTGAGGGGGGTCTTCGTTTTCTTGACACCGGGGGGGATGTGTAGAAAACGAAGACCCTGGTCGAAATTCTTTATAATTGAAAATCTTCAGAAGCCGTGTTGTTTTTTTTACACTCCTTCGATGTCTAGGAGTCGTTAAAAGCAGTTTCCAGTTGTTTCCGAGGGATTTTGAGGGGGGTCTTCGTTTTCTACACACCAGGGGGGATGTGTGGAAAACGAAGACCCTGGTCGAAATTCTTTAATTCTTTAAATTGAAGATCTTTAAATTGTCTTTAAATCTTTAAATCTTTAAATTGTCCTCTTTATACATCTGAGGCCGAAATACCCGTCTCTAGATGTTTATGAGTGATTTTGAGGGGGGTCTTCGTTTTTGGGTCTTAGGTCTTCGTTTTCTACACACCCGAATAATTTCATCAGTCGATCGGAGGAAAAGGCCGGAAGTTTTGTAGCCTTGTGGCGAGTTCCCACTCCAACTTAGAAACAAAGGCATTCCACGATAGCACACGGGAGAATTGACATTTGTAGTCAAACTTTTTGAAGATTCTGGACCCTCGGCGTATTACCTCACTCTCGCCATGTAACACTCGACCCTCGACGCTCGACCAAAACGCAGACGACTATTATGCATATGAATAAAGGCTGATAGTTTCGAAAGAAACTGTTTGGGGCTGCGTCGGTGGGAGTAACGAAATAATTTGGATATATCAACAAAGTTGAAATGGTAAATTGGCCACCGTAATGATTACAAAAGCTGACGTTTCGAGCGTTAGCCCTTCGTCGGAGCGAATAGAGGAATTGTGGGTTGTGTGTGCCTTTAAAGGCAGAAAATGGAGCTACGTTATTGGTGGGAGCATGGCAACGAGAAAAACATGAATAAATTAGTGGAATGAAAAGCGTTCGTTGATCCCTGTGGGATTTAGACTGCCGGTTTGAAAGATGAGCTTTTGTTCAAGATTTTTACGGCTTTCCGTGCCACCTAAGTGCAAGGAAAGACCGCAGATTGCCATATGTTGCTTAGAATGATTAGGTAAATTAAAATGTCTAGCGACTGGTTTCGATGTGTCCTTGTCATTCCTTTCCACGTCTCGAAGGTGTTCTCGGAATCGGTCACCTAGTCTTCTGCCTGTTTCGCCGATGTATATCTTTTTGCAATAAGTGCAAGTTATGCAATAGATTACATTGGCGGAGGTGCACGTGAAGTGATCGGTGATCTTAATGGATCGTTTAGGTCCCGATATTTTATCAGTGTTGTGAATGAAAGGACACGTTTTGCATCGTGCACGAGGCGGCAGTTTTTGATAAAAAAGTCTAATGATGCGAATTGGCCCTCTGGGGGAGTCCATTTAGACTTTCGAGTCTGAAGTGTTTCGAAAGTGTCTTTGTTCGAGGTGTTAGAATCATCCTCTTTGTTGTGAAAAAAGGCTTTTAATTGAACGCGGCAAAGGAATTTTTCTACGTCTTCTTTAATTGAGAATTCGTCCGTTGTTTTAGAAATGGGAACGAAATGTTAGCCCTTACTGAGGACGGATTTTTCTGAATCGGAAAGTGAGAGGTTTTCTGGAATGGTAACTACAGTTTTGAGGTTGTCTGTTGATGAGTGGTTAGCGATTTGGGGACCGATAAGTTGGTCAAGTTTTCGAGACGTGGAAAGGAATGACAAGGACACATCGAAACCAGTCGCTAGACATTTTAATTTACCTAATCATTCTAAGCAACATATGGCAATCTGCGGTCTTTCCTTGCACTTAGGTGGCACGGAAAGCCGTAAAAATCTTGAACAAAAGCTCATCTTTCAAACCGGCAGTCTAAATCCCACAGGGATCAATGAACGCTTTTCATTCCACTAATTTATTCATGTTTTTCTCGTTGCCATGCACCCACCAATAACGTAGCTCCATTTTCTGCCTTTAAAAGCACACACAACCCACAATTCCTCTATTCGCTCCGACGAAGGGCTAACGCTCGAAACGTCAGCTTTTGTAATCATTACGGTGGCCAATTTACCATTTCAACTTTGTTGATATATCCAAATTATACTATTATGCGTAACAGATGACTACTTCAAATTGGATAATTAAATGCATGATTACTATTGATTGAGCAGTGAAATAATCACACAGAAACTAGGCTGCTGAACAGACGTGATTTTTTTGCGTTTTTCAGTTTGAAGGAGGCAAGCGCGAGGTGGTGCAAAGTGCAAAGTACTTACACCTGTTCCGATGGGCACACAGAAACTTCCAAATCACCAAGTCAAAATAGTGTTCCTGCTGATTATGGCTTTGCAAACAAGGTCTTATTTGGAGAATCGTCTACTCAATGAGTTGCGAAAGTGGAAAGCCCGAGCCTTCGAGACATTTAGAGGGATTCTCAACTCATGCGCTGATCAATTTAAAGCCTCGACATTTCCCCCCGGCCGGAGAACCCACGGACATTTCACCGTCGTCCATGCCATGTGGGAAATTTGAACCTTGCCTGGCGAAGGTGGGGAATTTGAACCAGAGGTGTCGAGTCTTTCCAGAGGAATATAAATGTTCCAATTTGGAGGTGTTTTGAGGTAAATATTTTTTTTTTCAGAACCAGATGGCTCAAAAGAAAAAGTCTACAAGGTCTAATTTTTAAAGCTTGGTCCATTTGTAGAAAGTCACCGTCGCTGACTTCGTCTTTTTTTTCTTTCTTTCTTTTTTTTTATTTTCCCTCGCTTTTGCCCTGGAAGGTGGGAATTTGAATCAACCAGTCTTCAAAAGTTCAAATGCAAGGGGGATGCTCAGGGGAGAGAGTGTTGAACTTCAACGTATGATCGACCATAATATTACAAATTACCGCTATTATCCTGCTTGTATTCCAAACGAAACTACCACTAGATTCCCCTTCAAGTAATCGCCTTCCATTCGAGAGACCATATTTAAATAACTTGTGCGGAACTATCATGTTCTCAGGCCTAGACAAGGGTTTGGATGGGAGAGGGGAGGGGGGTACAAATGTCACTTATTGTTATTGAGTGAGCTTTGAAATTTGAGAAAAAAACAGAAAATTTCACAAAAATCACAAAAAAACTTCAAATTAACAAAACAAAATGTTGCTCCTGCTGAGCAGTGGCTTTACTGGAGAGATCTCATTTGGAGAATCGACCAAGCTGACAATAGATATTTTGTTAGCCCAAGTCTCCATGTCATTTAGATGGACTTTCAACTTAGGATAATCACTCGATAGTTTGCAATTGTTTCAAGTGGAAATCGGAACGCAATAAGTTCACAATTCGCCGTAATTTCTCGTGCATATCAAATAAGGAGAGGTTCCCTTAATTGTTTGTTCAAATGCATACACTTCTCTGCGTTCCGCGCATTGCATTCATCAGTAGACAAAAAGACGGGCATGTAGAAGATAGGGAATGAAATAAGGATTTGAAAACATTAATTCTTTTCAATGTGAAAACAACAATATCGGAGCGTACGTATAGTACGTCTCGGCTTGACGGCTTAACCGCTCTACCCTTATTTTTAGGGGATGGCAAGAGATGATGAGCGAACAGAAGAGGACATTTAGGAGAATCAAGGACATTTCGATTCAACCCGAAATATTTTTAGCAAGAGACAGACACACAAGTCGGATTTGCAAGCATCACCAGGAAGTTTTGTTGCAAGGTTCTTTATGATATGGGCCTTTGTGCCCGCATAAAAATTTGCATAACTTGTGTCGGGTGCTTATCACCGTAGAGAAGATATAAACAACAGCAAAGAACCAATTTATGCGATCGTTTAATGGATTGGAAACTTTTCTACACTAAGCACCAGTTCAAGATTCGTTCCAAGCTTGCATGTCATATTAATATTGTCCTACGATGCGGCATTTTGCCTTATCTTTTAGCTCTCTAAAAAAATACTTTGGAAAACTAAATAATAACACTAGTCACTGCCATTCGCCATGCATGATAAACTTCAGATAACTAAAAGCTTTCACTTATTCCTGCTGTCAATTTCTCAAATTTTTATTCCGCGTGTTTTTGGTGTGAGTAAGAGGGGGAGATTCTTTCTGAGAACCAAGTTAAGACAGCGGTAAGTATATGAAGCACAACCAACTGGCTACCTCTGAATATTAACAAAATACTATCAGCGATTATGTTTGATGAATCATCATTGACTAAGGCACATATATAGCTACAAATATGGCACCATTTATTCAATTCCAAAATTTTCAAATTATTGAATTTGTTGTCAAGTGTTATGAAATTTTGGCATACTAGTCTACATCCTAACATCTCCCATTTGTTTTTGAAATTTTCAGTACCTAACTGACTGAAAAAGACGCTTCTTTTAAAAGTTTGCACCGGTGGCTTGAGCTTGACGATCTCTGTGGAAGTCGTCACTTAAATGGACAGCAGCATTCCAAACTGCTTTTAGGTGCATCATTTTGATGCAGTCCGGAATGTTCGCCGCTCCAGGGATTTGTTCCAAGCCTCTTTCGGGAAAACATAAATCCAAGTACTCTCCAAAGCTGAAATAAATTCGTATTTACATCCTAGTTCTGTTAAACTATAGTAATGCATACAGCAACTTAGAAATTTTAGGGCCCCTATAGCTGTAAGTGAGTCCACCATGAGCTTTCTCTTCTCTACTAGCAATTATAACATACATGAACACGGTTCGCATCGTCTGATTGGTCAATTCAGTTTGCAAGGGGATGCTTTATCAGTCTATAGAGCCTGGATGAAACCAAGTATGATATGAAGCAATAAAAGGCATTTTCCGGGCTTTATGACGTGATTAAGCCTCTTGGGTTGTTGGGATGTTATCTAACAAATAGAGAAGTCTTGACTGTGCTCTAGATCTGTTGTTGTAAAGTCTTCAGGAAGCGGCTAGAGCACGAAAGAGGTGTACAGAGAGACAAGGGACTTAGTTGAATGTTTCTCCCCACTTCCTGAGTGCTCTAACCGCTTCCTATGTACTTTATAACAGAGCAGAGCACAGTCAAGGCTTCTCTATTTGTTTCATAATAAAGGATCTTTTTAATTCCCCACGCATTACTTTCAATTTTCGAAACAAACTTTATTTCCAAGGTAAACAACAGTGTCGTCAGCATGCTCTATACTCTCACAAAACAGGCGACGATTAGCCATTCAGAATCCTGATTAAAATGGTTCAAATAATATGATTAGTTGAACAGAACTAAACGACCTAATTAACCTTCTTACTAGCTAGCCTGCCGCGAGTCTCCTAAAGCTCGCTGGTAGAAAATCCGTATTACTGATCGGATGGTCGTAGGTTCGACTCGTACTGGGAACACTTAGAGTTCTTTTTCTCTGAATATGCCTGTGTCATTCCTTGAATAAAATCTTCTTTCACGTAAAATCCAACCTTAAAATGCACCATCTTCATTTGCATAGTTTTCAAGTCACTTTTTGAAAGCCCATTCAAAGAATCGAAGGTAGACCTGAACCAGCAGCTTGCTTACAAAATACGAAAGGAACTTTGAATAAAGAGGGGAAATTTCAACAAATGTTCGCACAAATACTTATTATAGAATGAAACATTTCAAATATTCCGTCTTACCTCATCGTTGAGATCGTTTCGCCATCCTTTTTGACATTGAGAAGAATAATCTGCAGGAGCTGTGGCAGAAATATGTCCATGTCGATTTTTCTCAACACACGACTTAGGGTAGTCTGTTCTTTGGTGCTAAGTTTTTTCTTGAAAGCGTCAGACAGTTGCTCAAAAGGCTCCTGAAAGAAAATTTCCCCGAAAGGGATTTGTTTCTAAGAGGATCTGACAAGCTTAAACACACGTTGTTAAACGTTGATATCCTTGCGGAAAAGCTGAGGGACAAATCCCGTGCATAACACATCAGAAATGCTTATCGAAGTTTGGAGAGGGTTAAAATAGTTCTTAGATGCCAAGGAAAGAATGATCCTTTTGACAAGCTACTTTTCTATTCTTAAGAAAATAAGCCAAAAAACGATGAAATAAAAGGAAATTTGTAATCAGTTTTATTCTGTAGCTACCTAATGCTCATTTAGCTAAAGTTCGCCATTATGACAGCGATTACACAGAAATTTAACCGGCAAGAGTGAAATACAATCATTTCAAACCTAACCTGTTCGTTCCTGGAATTGATTTTTGCTCTCTCGAGAGCCATAAGCCGCCATAATGCCACGGTATGAGACAAGTTGCAGTGCTGCTCTGCCTACAAAAGATGACATGATCCCTAAACACCCCATGCATGAGTCAAACCACTGTTGAATAATGGCTAGCACATTGGCAAATAGTGCTTCTTCTTCAGCTAACTGATAAAAACGAAGTATTACAAATCTCTCACAAATCGCTTGAGTGGCACACAACCTCTGACTTCCAGAAATGAGTTTTTATAGCTACTAACGGGAGCATTTTGATTCAGATATTGGTGATTGAAGCGTTGCAACGGTCAAAGAAAGACGACCACTTACTTATTATTAAAACATGTACTTACTGTTGGACTCTTGAGACCTCGATCTTTGGGTAGCTTAAGAACTTCGTGTAAGTACAATTTTAAAGGCTTCTTCGACTGGCCACCCGATGAGGCAAGAAAACCAATAGCAATATCCAGTGACGACATGACACTGCAGACATCAGGCAATGAAGACCGCAGATCGACAATAATCTGGCTCTCAATGACGCGGGAAATTGACTCCTGTCAAATAACAGTCGGCAAAAGTGTTTTAGGTCTTGACCACACCAATACAACCATAAACATCATAAGAATGTAACAAATATATTAATCGCGACGTGAAAAACAAACAAATAATTCAGAACCAAAAACATGTTACCTGAACGAACCGGAGGGGCGGTGGGCAAGCCAGTGTATATTAAAAAAACAAACAAACAAACTGAAAGCTAATATGAACCCGTTTCACAAAAATCCAAACAAAGGCAGAGTGCAGCATAAAAGGATAAAACGAAGCAAGGTCCTGTTCTCAAATATACCCCCAACAAAAGGTGATCACCTTTACGTTGCGCACAAATAGTAGATATATGAAAAAGTAAATAAGTAATTTAATAGAGGGCATTAATGAAGGAGATTTAAAATGTTTACCCAATTAAACACCCCCCTAAAACTTGCCTTATTGGACACCCACTGTAACCGCCCAGACGTCCCCCAAAATATAAACATTCTACACCTTGAGATTTCTTCTTTGGATGCATTAGTGAAACTCAGACAAAGTCAAACTTTTGTTCTAGACTTTAAACGTACACTGGATAAATGTATATATCGAAAAAACAAAAACAAAACAAAACAAAAACAAAACAAAACAAAAAATGAAAAAAAACAAAAACAAAAACAAAAAAACAACGAAAACTAGGAAACTATGAGTTTACTTGAGGAATTTTTCCAGCAAGGGAAGAGAACACAGCCTCGTCTCGGGTGTCTCGGCTGAACACAAAACGCTCCTCCTGAAACATTTCACACAGAATAGATAGAGCTCAGTGAAAAAAAATGCAAGATGGGGTTGATAACACAGCCTTTATCAAACTTGCTCGCACCTAAAGCAGCATGCGCATTAACTTCTCTGAAAGAAAATTTCTGTTCCAACTTATTGTTTACTGATTCACACCTCTCTGATTGATTTTAAAAGGGTAATTTCAACAAAAGAAATGTGCCTTAAAAATGGGAATAAACCTGTCTCCGATAAGATAGAATACAATCAGTGAGAGAATGAAAACATTCCTGTGTGTTGAAAACGGCTTTCCTCAGAACAGAAATAGTTTTCCCGTACTTCCTGAATACTTGCAGCCTACCTTAAACTCGATAAAAGGCCTTCCCCTAAACAACCTGTCAATCAACTGTCTCTCCAGAGCCGCCCAATCATAGTGGACTAAAGTCTCCTGTCCCACCTCCAAAGAGTAGTTACAATGTGTCAGGATGAGGGGCAGCAGGTCCCTCTCAGGATCATAGGCTATCAAGTGGGACAAGGTCGCCTCTGATACAGCAATGCGCTCTAAGGGGCTTTAAACAGAAAGAAATCTACATTTGACAGAGGAAAAGTTGGGTCTGAATATGATTGAATATTAGACGTGCACAGATGATCCAATCTCATGGGTGACACATACACAATGCGTGTAGAAAATCTAAACCATGTCATGCTTGCTGAAAAAATCTGAAAATTATTTTGATCATCTCAAAAAATAACAGTTGCAAACGAAATTTGGTTTAAAGATCCTAACATTATATTCATGTTGTAGCTGAGTTTGTTCGACAAATGGCTGAGACCTAAATTTAGAAGAACAACGTTATCTACGGCTCATATTTCCGAAACCAGGTAATGATGATCTAATTGTTTCCATCAAAGCTAAAGGTAAAACAGAAAAACGTAAGCTATTCATTTAAATGTACCTATCTTGATTAGCTGCACTACGGTAGGCTCCCAGAGACTCGTTATTGGCATTAACCAAAAAGTAAGTGAGCGACGTCGAACAAACTCCCAAACCAGTGGCGCAGGGGAGAACCATTGCGATTGCACAGTCGTTGTCCATTGGGGTATTACAAAGGTCTTGTGGAACACTTAAGCGACCTTACGGTAAAAGGTCAAAACACAAGTTAAAACAAGGATAAAATTGCTGAGGAAATCATACGAAGACACTCAACCTGTGTCTCAGTTGAAATAAATTCCCACATAAAAAATGCGATCGATAAAAGGAAGAAAACAGGATCCCTATTACGCTCTACGTTTAGCATCATTCACTGACCTTGTCATTCATTATCTTACCTCGCTGAGCTTAGATAAGTTGTTAAGAAAATATATTTAGATCTCTTAGGGAAAAAAAACCTAATTCAGTTGTACGAATTACTCCAACCTTTAGGCTTGAAAAGGAACAATCAATGTACCTTGGTCACCGAGAAATGACTTGCAAGAATTCCAAGCATACTTGAAACTGTGGAACAGACTGGTATACTCCTCTTTAAGAGACTCTAATAGAGATGTTTAGTTTCATTCAGGTTTAGTATTTACATAATGATAATAATAATTAATAGTAATAATTTAATATTTATATTGCGCAAATTAACATGTGGATATGATTAAATACGCATCACAACACTTTTCGGTGGTCTTTGGCCGGAATGCATCAGCAGTTTATAAATAATCGAAGGAAACTTAATTGAAGATGTCTCCTCCCCCCAATTCCCAATAAACAGGCCAGACCACATCACAGTAATCTCGTGAGTGGGTTCTTTATCGTCCCCTGCTTAAGCAAGTTAACTAATTAATAGATGCAGGAGAAGGGACCTACGGTTTATTCGTCCTTATCCGAGAAGACTAGAATGTCTATCCATTTCTTGATATRATAGAAAGGTAGCGCATTCTCCTCAGTTATTTTAAGACCTTGAGTGTTGGTCCGGCCGGGGCTCGAACCATCGACCTCGACCTCCCGCACAACAGTCCAGTGTTCTAACCAACTGAGCTAACCGGGAGGCGGTACATAAAGACCTACCTCAATCGTAGTTTCACAGGCAACCTTTTTCTTAAATAAATTTCACTTGAAAAGCATAAACAGTATTTCCTTAGCTAAAAAAATACACACAAAAATTTGAAAAACAGGGAGCTTCGTTGAGGACGAAAGTTGCCCATGCAGTGACCTAAAAAGAGGTTCAAACAAAATCATACTCAAGAGTTATTTTCCTGAAATAGAACTGAGTATTTAAATTGAAATTTTGTTCCTTGTTTCCACGTCGTATTTGGAGGGTTGTATTGGAGGGAGGGAAACGAGAGGATTCGGAGCAATACTCACGGAGAAGAGAGAGCTTTGTCACCTCTGCCTTATCCGTCTCCGAAAGGTTTTCTTGGGAAAGGTAGACGGCGAAAGAAAGCCTTTTCAACTAGTATACAGGTTAGGTACAACTTGGTGGAAAAGCAGCTCAAAACATGAAACTTTCGCATCAACCACATACTTAATTAGTTTCTCTGTCCTTAGCTATATCTAATACAGCCTGGGGATTAATTTAGTACCTTCACAAAGATGATTGAGAAAAGCGCTGATGGTATACTTTTCGGCTTCTGTTTTGTCTATTCGTCGGTGGAATCTGTCCAGCAAAAGACGCTGGAGACGAATCACATCGGGTAGAAACTGAACGAAGCGTAATTTGTGTTCCTGTATTGTTAAGACGAGAAAAAGACATATCAAGAAATACGTTTGGAGACTCCATTCGGCAGATGCCTAAAATTCAACCCAGAAACTGGTTGAAATAACGTGATAGCATCTCGGTCTTAAAAAAATCTTTGACTGGCCTTCATAGCCATTGCAAGACTGCAAAATCTATGTAGTATGTAGTATGTAGTACGTAGTACATAATCCTTGTCATTTTCATTTCAGAAAAATCTTGAAGATACCTGTTTAAGGAAAGCTTCTAGCACTTTGTATTCCTGTTCGCCACCAGAAAGGACTTCTCTTTGAAAAGAGCTACTTAAGCCCTCTATAGTAATATGCTGTCTGTACTTCCAAAGAGCGCGAGACATGGGCCTGACGCCTTCAGACAAGTCTTCCTCCTGTTCATCAAACTCGTAAAGTTGACGCACCAACGGATCCCTTCCTGAAAACGACACCAAACAAACATGGATGAAAGTCATGTGACGGTTATTCATCCCAGTTTAGTTTATAATAGTGTTTGCAATTACTTTACATTTCGGCATCTAATCAAGTTGCAAGTGCAAGTCTTCTCCTTTCATAATCATTCAAGAGCACCGCAGGCCGGCGTTTTCACCAGCTACTGCACTAATATACTTGTTTCTAAAGCACTTTAAAATGACAAATCAACACAGGACCTGGCTTGATTTGAAATACTCTTGAACCTTTACTTCATTTCTGTGTGTACCCAAATAAAGACTGATTAAAAGTGGACACAAAACAGTAGGTGAAATAAATGCTTCTGCCCCGCTGGGACTCATTTGTTTCCCGTCGGCTACCGTCTTTATTACCTGACTAACAAAAAATCTCTGGAGAACACAGTGAAACCCCTTTTTTTACATGTCTACAGAAAACAAAGGCTCCGTACACGCTAAATGTACAATGCCCTTAAGTCTTCATTTCTACTAATACTAGGATGAAAAAAAAGAAACTGAACCAGTCTGATTGCGACGCATTTTTTTTTCTTTTTTACATCTTCAAATTTTACTATAAACAAGCGTACCAAATTTCTCGTCTTCCATCAAAAGTTTTAAGGCATTCTGTAGTCTCTCGTCAAGACGCTAGGAAGATATTGCAAAAATATGAACGATTATCACTTGTAGCAAGGTCGTACATAACAAAAGTGAAGGAAACATAACGAAATATCTCAATCTACTCTGCACATACGGTGATGACAGGAACAAGAATCTTAGAGCAAAAATCTTTTTCCCAGCTGCGGCGACTTCTCCGTGTTTGAAGTCGCATGTCATGATGGGCTTTTGCTGAAAATAATAACGGGCAAAGAGGAACAAATGAGCAGAGACAGGAATCCTAGTAACACAGCTGCTCGGTTTACGTACAGAAATATTTGGTCATAGATACAAATGGTAAACACCACAGTGTGCAATATTGAGTTATGGATGCACGCGGAAGGCTACGTAAGAGTCGCGCGAGGCGATAGCCGAGAGCAACTCTAGCTTATTGAGTACAGACGCAAATATGCAGTAAATGGCTTGAACCTGGAGGTAACATGTGAAAGTGTCGTGTGATCGTCCGGGCGGGTGTAGTCCTGAAAAGGACTGTTGTCGGTGGTGGTGACTGACGTTTAGACAACCTGTGAGGAAGTCATCATCAGAGTCAAGTGAATAGTTGTTGTCAGTTGAATTTTCTTATTTCAGTCCGTGTAAAATAATTGATCAGTTTTGCCGTGATGTTATTGGCTGTAAGACGAGGAAAGATGATGTCAACAACCACACTGCTGAACATCATCGACGTACGAACCACAACATTGACTGGGACTCTGCGCAATGCCTAACCTACAGCACTGACTACTTTCAACGACTGATTCTGGAAAGCTGGTTTACTAATTTAGAACAGACTCTCCAAAACAGGTGTCAACAACTACCGAATTCATACAAACGACTCATTCACGACATAAACATTACAAACGAACCAAACAGAACGACCTAACTTTACCGACGGATCGAAACAAACCAATCACGACCGACTTACGCCACTTGAGTCTTACAGCCAATAACATCACAGCAAAAATGACCATTTATTTTACACGAACTGAAATAAGAAAATTCACTTGACAACAACTATTCACTTGATTCTGATGATGACTTCCGCACAGGTTGTCGAAACGTCAGTCACCACCACCGTCAACAGTCCTTTTCAGGACTACACTCACCCGGACGATCACACGACACTTTCAGACGCAAATATAACACATAAATAATTTTTTTTCGGTTTGTCACGATACAAATCTATCCCATCTGATTTTCTCTTTCAATTGAATTTCACAAAGCTCCTGTTTAGGGAGATTAGCCATTCATCGAGTACAAGTTTAAGAGCGGGCATTCGGTGAGCTTACTTTTAACAATACACCCGCACAATAAAATTACTTGGCTTGACATAAGCCACTATCAATAATATTTAAAACCTCTCGATTAGGCCACAAACCATTACAACATCACGCTTTTGGAATAAAAAAAATCTAATTCAAAGAGTACCAGCTCGTCCTCCATTTAGTAAGATCATTCTTTGCAACGCTAAATGAACTGTAAGGGCTGCGTCATCAACACTGCACCCCAGTGCTCGGCCGAGAACATCAAGGTCTCTCTGCAAGTGCTGCCACAAGAACTGTCCCACAGATTCCACAGAACGAGACGGGCATGGAGGTGCGAACAGCTCAGAGATTGCCTTAGGATAAAAAATAAAGATTTGTTGATCTACTCAGGATTAAAAGAGCAGAATTAAAACAAAATATAGAGCTTTCCAATAATACCAAGCGAACATAATATCTTAGAGAAGTAGTAGTTGCCGACGCTAGGAATGCGTTTGAATAACTTAAATGCATCTTAAATGAGGTTTTTTTTGATTGATGAGGCTCGAAGAGCGCAATATATTTTAAGATTCTTAAAGCACTGTTATTTTAACTTAAGAGCTCCAACCAATGAAAAGTTTCTCCTTTGCTTATTCGCTGACCGTCTCTCTTTGTGTCGAATTAATAATCACCTGGGGATTTCTGGATGCTCCCATGACCATAGCCGAGTGCATGATAATCCTCAAGAGACTGCACACTATCGGTGGCATATCTCTCTGCGGTTCAGCATGAGTGGATCTAGAACCAGGTTCTCCGAGGGCGTGACCGGTCTTCGTCCTGTCTTCCCTAGAAGGTCATTATATTGAATAGATATCATTAAAATGATCATTGACCCCTCATTTTGTTTACCTGCAGAAAAAGGTTCTGACGCGTTTCTGGACTCAAACAAACCCACAATACGTATGATGCACGATCCTCGCAGTAGAGAGCGCTATTTATGCAATAGCAAAAATCAGGCCTTACGGGATTCGAACCACTGACCTCTGCGATACTAGTGCAGCGCTCTACCAATTGAGCTAACAAGCCAACTGGGAGCAGGCCGTTAAGTTGATTCGTAATAAACCCGTGATGATAAATCAGATACAATGAATATATGAAGTTCATATATTTGATCATACGTATCTACAACCGCAGTTCAAAATATATGAACTTCCTATATTCATTGTAACCAAACCCACAATATTTTGCCGTAACACGGAGAGTATTTAAGGGATGAGAAATCAGTATCTTCAAATACCTGATAGAAACTTTAGATTGTTCTGAAAACTTGTGCTGCTCTCCTCCTAATAGCCTTCCACAGTCTGGACAGGTACTCTTTTCCATTGGTTTCGAGCACTATTCCGGAAAACACAAAATCCACTTAAGTAAATTCAACAACGGTTAACGGTGCGTTTAATACACTGGAATGATTCATGGCAGCGATAACAAAGGAAAAGTGTATTTTTTGATAAAATAAAGTTAAAACCGTCAAATACCAAAAGAGCCTCCCCTATCATAAGCAAAAACACCCTTTATTGAACAAACCTGGCGGAGATAATCTTGGCTTAATCTCCTTGATTTTTATCCTTATTACTCAGAAATTGACTTAGTACACGGTTCACGAGCTGGCACTCTATAATATAATTGCTTACCTCCCCAATGAAATACGGATGTCTGCATTTAAGATTGCTGCACTCTGGCAAGGTAAAGTAAAAATTTACAATGCGTTGTAAGTTTCATGTAAGGCAAGCAACGGAAGGGGAGACTTTCTCATTTTTGTCCCACTCGATATAGTCTTTTATAATAATTACTTTCTATACTCCTTACCATAACACAACATCTTACAAAAAGAATTTTATATACAAAAAGTGTGTCTGTAACAGTTATAATTTAACAGGATTGCGCTCATCGTTGAAGAAAATGTCATTTCAAAAATAAGAAATATAAAAAGCAAGGGGAAAAAAACACTTACCATACCACTCTCCAACCCACTTGGTTCCCTTCATAGTTTCAGCAATGGCGTTAATGCACTCGAGATAGTTATCCTCAGGCATCGTTGGTAGAAACGAATTCTGTACAGAACCAATAAATGTAGGGTAAAGATCTTTTCATGCAAACTACCCAAATCAATGTGGCTGAGAGTCACTAAACTCGAAAGTAGATGATATTGCAATGACGGGGACGAGAAAATGTGAATTTTATGCTCTCGTGCCAAAAACAATATCTTACTCGCTCGTTGCGCTCACTCGTGAGATATTGCTATAGCCACGAGAACATAACTCATACCTTCTCGCCAGTGTGTTGTTTTCTTTTTTTCGCATGGTAGAGATTGAAAGCTGGTGTTAATACCGTGAAGTGGAACATAAAACTCATATCTTCTCACCAGCGTGTTATTTTCTTTTTTTTTTTTTTTTTTTTATGGTACAGATTGAAAGCTGGCTTTAATACCGTGACGTCGTTGTGTACTAATGACGACTCGCATTACCTACGAAAACTACGCCACTCGGTTCCCGGTTGCTATGGTTGAGTTGATTCTATGAGTGTGACATAATGAATTATGAAGGGGTGAAGTAACGACATCACTAGACTAATATTGCAAGTTAAAACTTTGTTTAAGCAAGGTAACGTTTTATCGATATGATCTACTCGCGGAAAGCATGTTTTCAGTTTCAAATTCCATCTGAAAACCTTATAATGTAGTCAGCAGACTTACCAAAAAGTTAAAAGGAATGGAAGTAAGGAGTGACTGGGTGATGGATGAAAGGACGAATTTGGGTCATAAAAACTCGGAAATGGCTTTCAGCCATTTAACGAGTTAAAAAGGAACACAACATCGCAAATGTAACATCATCCTTGCAGCTATACAAGTCAATTAAAGTCGGTGGGTATTTTGATCCATTCCGTTTCTTTTTTTCATACCTCTGCTCCTTAACCCCCAGATACTTGACCCATTCCCTACCACTACCAGGGCAAAAGTACCGTACGTATTAACCATTATTATTGTCCTTATTTGAACTTTCTAGTTCTCTATATGTACTCAATATCTACTCGAGAACCAACCATCTAAGATTTTATTTCTAAGAATAGCGAGAATCGATGGACACTCACAAAAGTTCGATTTTTTTTTATTTTTGCATGAAATTCCCTTGCACGAATGCATTTAGGGGAATTAGTTAAAGGTTCCATCGACTTATTCTAAAGGAGAAATTTTCAAAAGTTTGAAAATTCGGTTTTTACCTAATTTAATATACAAACTCTTACATTTCTTTCGGCGGTCACCGGAAACGTAAACTATTGAAAACAAGACTTTGCCCAATTAATATTCCATCCTTCTTATTTGAAAGAATGTTTAATCTTGTAAGAAATAGACAACTTTTTTCAGAGACATGTTTCGGCATGCTTATGCCATCTTCAAACAATGAGTAATAGAACGTGAGTAATTATATAACAGACAAGTAGTATTCATCAAAAAAGTTGTCTACTTCTTACAATATTTATCATACTTGGTACTTCTACGACCTAATGTTTTAATCGTTAGATTTTTTTTATTGGTAACTTATTCAAATTTTTCTACTGGTACGGCATCTGGTACGTTCCATTTGATTATAAAGATTATGTTTTCGTTTGTACTATACTTCCCACCCTGAGAATTTTAGCTCAAGGAATTCAATTTTCCTCCACCATTGAATAAATTATTTTGACCTGTAAGCGTTATGCGGAGCAGTGTAATTTATGCAAATCTCTGTTTGATATTTGGACTGCAGCAAAAATTGGTGAAAAGAGAAGGTTGAAATTAGATTACCATTAATATTAACCGAGATTTAATTTTTCCCTCTTTACAATGGAGGTGGTCTTTGACGACCTTGCGAGTGAAGGTTAAAACGACCGTAATGACTGCATCATCTATTTCCTCTTCTCGCTGTGTTCATAGTAGTAAGGCAATCCTTGTTTATACAAGCTGACTAAGAAACCCAGCACTCACGGTATTTAAATATAGATTGTACGACTTAACTTTCCAACTGGAGAAAAGGTATTTTCGTTTTGGGTATCACTTGACCAAGACCATACGATGATGTCACAAGCTTTGCTTGAAATAGCTCTCTGATGGAAATACTCCCTGATACTTTCCAAGCCATTAGTTGTGAACGTTTGCTGACAGGGTGATTTACACTGCTGCGAGACAAGTGCAGAAGACTGTCTGATTGGGGAAGTACGAGAGTGTGGCCTGTCAGAAGGTTAAGAGAAGCGTGAACCAGGGTTGGGTTGTCCAGCGTGTTGATTGGTCTTGTTCGATCTTCTTTAGGCAGGTGAATGTGAGGGTAAAAGTTGGAAGGGCAAAATAGTAAGGAGGTTTCTATTCACGTGAAAAGCATTAATAAACTGTACTCCTGGGTCAGGTCTACATCGGACTTATTGAGGAACCTTAAAATTATGTGTAGAGGGAAACAATTCAACGTCAAAAATGCCCCAACGTTCCTGTACAGCAGAGTAAACCTCCTGGGACATGGACCATTCTGTAGCCTCTTTACTACTCTAAATTCCTTCTCAGCTTAAATGTTTACATACCCTGGGATATTGGTGGCACTGAGCCAGTTGTTGTGGGTTTGACAATACTTCCCTATCATGGTTGCCATATCAAAGCACGGTATCGATTTAATACTTGACTAAGCATATTTTTCCACCTGAAAGCACCACAAAGAGATTTTAGACCCAATAGGACTGCTTTTAATCCAAGTAAATTTAAGTGGTTTTGTAGTCCCTCAAGACTCTAAAATCCCCGAGTGGAGGTATCTCCACAGACAGCTTCCTAGCCCACATTTCATCCATCAGCAATTAGGGTGATGTCAGGGTTGCCATGGCTGATGGATTTAGAAACAGTTTGAGATTATTTATGTAATTTCTGTCCTAGATTGGGTAGACAGGGTCATAATGGAATCACAATTTCCTTTGTTCGCATGGAGTGCACAGATTTTGTCAAGTTCTATATGCATTTAAACAGATTCCACAGCAAGAAAACTAGAAACAAGAAAACCTAGAACCTGGGCAACACTACGTAGAGTAGCTTTTTTTTTTGGGGGGGGGGGTGGCGGGTGGCGGTAGCAAGGTTTCACAAGCAGATCTGACCTTCAAGAACTTGGTTTCCGCGAGGGTTATTGTCAGATAAACTGTCCAAGCAAAAACCCAGCTGGAGCACAGACTTCACAGTGTGGACAGTGAAGCTAAGGTTTGGAAACAAACACGGTATCCACAACATTTCTATGACATGAATCAAAACTCATACCAAAGATTAGGAAATCATCAACATGCCCATACATGTATACCCCAGCAACAGAGCGCAAACGGGCATAAACTGGCTTAAAAATTTTTGTGAAAATCCTAGGGGTAGACGATAGACCATTAGGTACGAAAATAAACTGGTTGGAGATTTCTAGGCGTGGAAAATTCTCTAAGGGTCCCGGTTTAAAACACACTTCAGACATATTCCATGTGCTCACAACAACCTTTATTATTCGTTCCAGTCCCCCACATGGGGGGCACGCCTGGCGCTTGCAAAAATACATTCAGACGAACGATTGTGCGTTCACTGGTAGTATTTCTCTTTCCACTGAAACATGAGGAATTTCCTGTCTTCCTCCGCTATGGAGATGGAATAACAGGATATGGAATAATAGGAACTTTGAGATCTACAAATGCCATAAAACATCCAGGTCGGGTAAGCTTGTGGGCAGCGCGGATTGTGTCCATTCTAAAATGGTGGTAATCAACAAACTCCTTGAGTGGTTTAAGACTGAGTATCAATTAGAAAGTACCATCCTATTTCGAACAAATGAAAATATTTGAAACAAAAGCATCAGGCACATGGTTGGCTAATTGAAGAACTTCTTTACTCACAAGCTCAGCAATTTCCGCATCGATGATAATGATTACAGCAGCTGAGAAATGAATATTTTTGGTCGAATTGTCTGTGTTGGGTACTCAGCCTCAAACACTATAAGATGATGCTTTATGTTATCTAAGATAACTAGGTCATTAGTCAATTGTTCCCAAAATGGCAACGCTATTTCACCTTTCCTGCTCCAAAAGGTGCGACCCCTTTGCGCAGGTCGTCTAAATTAAGAACTAGTGGGAACGGTTTTCTTAGTTGTTCTCTTGTGCCATGTCAGAGTTCGCTTGATTTTTCGTCTTAGTCTGAGATGATACCCGGCCATGTGCGAAAAAAAGGACAGCACTTGAAAGCATTAAAACAATAGTTTTTTGGTCGGTCAGAAGGTTTAAACTAAAGGCGTTAGCGGTATAGGCTGGTCCGTTGGCCGCTTTTTGCATCTGCCGTCCGGCTAGCTTTACTTCGGGCATTTCTTTCAAATGTAGTTGTAGGCTTGATTTCTTCCTCAAGAAATCTAATGTATTGAAAGATAGGATTTGGTTTGATGATCTTTCTCCGCGTCATGTTAAGCTTCGATCCAGTTGGAACTTCCAAGGACAATGCTGTCCATCATGTATCTAAGGGAATGTCTTTGAATAGCCGGTCGCCTAAGATTGTAAGTGAGGGTAATCCGTGAATCAGTGGTTCCTGAACACGCTGAAGAGCCAAATCAACTGCCCTGTTCTTTCTACACAACTGGTCCCAAATGTCTTCATAAGCCAGGGTTGCAGTGAGGTCTTTGCAATTTGCAGGCCGCGGTTAAGTCCAATAAATTGGGTGGTTCTCGAACCAATGTTTCTTTCTTTCAGATAAATGTGATGGTAGGAAGTTAAGCAAAAAGCGAATGAAAATTTTCAAATCTTATTCAGCGAAATTTTGCTTTTAACCGACGGGTGACGAGATAGAAATAGTTTCTGTTATCAAATGAAACGAACCAGATACCATTTTTAGCTAGTGAAGTCGCAATATGGACTGTTAGAGCAGGACAATTTAAAGTACTTGCAAAAAATTTTCTTAGGATTAAAACTTTATTTTTAGAATAGAAGGGCAGCAAACTACCTGGGCAAAGTCTTGTTTTCGTACGATAATTTTTCTGTTCAATAACCGACGAAAGAAACACAAAAATTTGCATATTTAATCCGGTAAAAACCGAATTTGTAAACTTTTCAAAATTTGTCTCGCAAAATAAGTTGATGGAACCTTTAGCTACTTAAATACAGTCAACTATTTGTCTTAAATACATTCATCCGAGGATATGTTATAGTAAAATAAAATTTTTTGTGAGCGTCCATCGATTCTCATTATCTTCAGAAATACGATTTTAATAATTTTAAGGGGTAAGTTTCGAAAGAAAGTGTGGTGCTGGGTTATAACTTGACTTCACTTGATATTGTATATTAGCCACCGTAAAGAGTTTTTAAACTGACGTTTCAAGCGTTAGCCCTTTGTCAAAGCGACTTAGTTGATAAAGCAAAAGTATCTTGCTTAATAATTTGCCTCTTTCTCACCGTGAAAACGATTGAAAAAGTAGAAGACGAAGGAGAAGACAATGTAGACGAAAGAGACGAAGACAAAGAAGAAGAAAGAGAAGAAGATGAAAAAGAAGACAAAGACGAAGAAGAAGAAAATGAAGAAGAAGAGGAAGAAGCAGAAGAAGAGGAAGAAGAAGAGGAAGAAGAAGAAGAAGAAGAAGAAGAAGAAGAAGAAGAGGAAGAAGAAGAA